GGTATGTTCTCCTTCATAAGTGGATCCTAGAACCAGACTCTAATAAATAAGTATGCAACCAGACTTAACTACAGGAACCAGGACAAAGGAAAGGAAACAGGGAGGTAAAGGAAAAGAAATAACCTGAAAGAGAAGAACAGTAGGAAACAGGCCTTAATAAGGGAGATATGGATAAAAATTGGGATAGTGAAAGGGAGGGGGGAGGGAAGGGTATACAAGGAACCTAGGGGATAAAGGGAAAGAAGGAGTTCAAGAGAGGTAGGACCATAGGAGATAGGTATTAGTAAGGGAGAAAGGGGAGAAATGGGGGCACTTTAAGTGGGAAAACCATGATGGAGGGGTGAGACAATATGAGAGATAAACAATGCCTAGCTAGTTTTGAAAACCAAATGAACCATATTATTTCTACAACCTACTGACAAATTATACATAGCAGATCAAGAAATATATGTCTAGGTAAGGTTTATCTGAGAACAACTGGTCTTTACGCAAGATTTATCTACATGACACACAGTAATTAAAAATACCAGACTGGTGGAACTAACCTTCTTGGGTGTTTAACAGACATACTTTGAGGTCTATAATAATTTTGTCAGAGGGACATAAAGGACACTTTTTGCTCCTTGCCCTCCTAGGTCGACTAGTTCCAGGGGACTATGAGCATCTGTCAAAATGTCCTGTAATTGTGGTGAGACATCTGTCCTCTTGATCAAGGAGGCCAGACACCCCACCAGAGGGACTTGAACCAGTGTCCAGTCTATAAAGAAGAAGGTCCACACAGAGGAATCATGTCCTCCATGCTTCCGAGTGAAGCCAACCATGGTCGAGCATCTTCACATAGGCAGAACTGGTAAAAGAAAGGAGCCAGGGGCTCCTCACAAGCCCATGTGACCCCTGAGGAACAGATGCTCAAATGGCCTTAAGAGTAAAAATAAATTGGTTATCTGGACCAACTGTATGGCCTTAAACACCCAAAAGGAAAGTATAACCAAAGATTAAAGGGGCCAATATAATTTCATAAGAGTCCATATCTATAGCTAAAGGCTACATAACAAGCCACAATGCCAGACAGGTGATACTTTCTTTTGAGTTGTTTGCCAGGGTGGCCAAAGGGATTCCCAGATAATAACCCAACATAGAACTGGGAAATTGAACAGCAGACCCCAATCTTATCCAAGGGAATATTGATAACTGATTACCGCTAGATGAGGAACAGCTGACCCTCCTAAAACAAAGACCTCTAGATAGGCTGACTAGAATCACCAGAAAGGCAAGTAGTGGGGAATGCCTGCGGATGCTGACAACACGGCTGACAGTAGCAGGGATATCAGAGTAT